TGGGGGTGATTTCTTTCTTTCTGTCTCTCTGTCTGTCTGGCGAGTGCACGCACCTTATAGCAAAAACCTCTTTAAAAAAAAAAAAAAAAAAAACTATAATGATTTATAAAGTTAGAATAAAAATTGAAAACAAAGTCAACACATAGCCCCCAATCATACACTTTTCAGAAAGTTCCTACCTCTTTTTTAACTGGAGAACTTTTAGTTTTCTTAGGAGTTTTTGTCTCTTTCAATTCAAAGGCATTTTCTTTCCTTGGTGTAGCCACACGCTCTGTTGTTCTGTAAGAGCTTGCTTCTTTTTTTTTCAGAAGTGCCAGTTTAGAACTGGGCTTGGGAGAAGAGGATTCTCCTATTTTGTGAGCCGATGCCCTAGAATGTTGCTGAGATTCTTTTGAACTTTCACATCTGGCTTGCTTCCTAGGACTGTAGCTTTTTCTTTCATCAGGAAATTGTTCTGTTTTTACTAGGAAGAAGGAGACAATTATGACAGTTGTTCTTGGAAAATGATACCCAATATAAGCATTTTCTTTTTCTTTTAACTTGCTAAAGGGTGCTTGTGCTCACTGGAGAGAGAGAGAGAAAGAAAGAGAGAGAGAGAAAGAGAGAGAAACCAATCCCGGGGGGGTGAGGGAGGCGGCCACACCTCAATTCCTTCTCCTCCATTTCTCTTTCTGGGATCTATATAGCTGGCGTGTTTTTCAAGCTGCTGGGTCCAGATTCATATTCCTCAGTCACCCATGTGGAACCAGCCACTTACGGCCATTCCACTGGCTGGCCCTTAGTTTTTCATTTTCAACTGAACAATCTTAGAAGCACGATATCATACAGTAATTTCAAAATATTTAATTACTATTTTAGTTCTTCAGTTTATATAGCATTTATTTTCAAAAGCTAAACATGGTATACTACTTGCTTGTATAACCAGCTCAAATTAAGAGATTTCTCTCTTGGCTCCAGCAGATGATGTGGTGATTAAGGTGCTAAGACTTCCATGTGGCCCGTTCGAGTCCCAGACCCAGTGGCCTGAAACTCACGCCAGGCGTGTGTGTACGCGTGCCCAAGATCTTAGGAGGAGAATGGAGAAGGGATCGCAGCGTGGTCATCCCCCCAGAAGTTTTCTCACTTTCTGTCTCTCGGTGCCTCTCTGGTGAGTGCGCACACCCTATAGCAAAAGCCTCTCTCTTAAAAAAAAAAAAAAAAAAGAGAGAGAGACATTTGTCTCTTAATATAAACTACTCATTTCCTGAAATAATTTTATAGGCTAGATCTAAGGATTTGGATACCAAAGATAAGCTGTGAAATTTACAAAGAGAAAGCTTACTGACTAGCATATGTCACATAAAAATTCTGCATCTATAGTACAACCCTTTTGAAAGCCAAATTCCTAAGGTCCCAAGACTGATAGGTAAACAGATCTACTAGGAAGATTAAGTCCATCTATACTAGGAAGTGGTTCACTATCAGGATCACTAAAGAAAAAACCCTACAACCAGGAGTGCTTCGATGACCTGGACAACTATGAGTCAACTCTATGAAACCATTTCTAACATGAAATGCTCAAGACATGTTCTTTTCTTCAGTACTGAAGGGCACAAGACAAACTGCATATGCTGAAATGAACAAGCAGCCAGGAGCTAGAACGTAGGCTCGCAGCAACCCGAGAGCAGGTGGGCGCTCTCCCCAGCTAGGATCCAAACAGCTTTCAAAGTACTGACGTAGAACATGTTCCAGGAAAGCGCTATGCAACCTAACGATACAGTTACTGAACAGAGTTTAAGTAAGGTTAGCACGGATTTTCTTCTAGAAAGACAAATGCTCCATCTTACTTTTACTGCTAGTATTACCTTTGTGAGGATATTTATGTTTTTCTGCTTTACTTAAGTTGGCTTGGACAGATGAAAACGTTTCTCCCTCTTCTGTGTCCTTTTGAGTCTAAATGAATTTAAAAAGTGTCAAATGTGACAAATAATAGGAAAACTATTACCACAAAATCTGCTCTTAAAAATCAAGGCAAGTTTTCATTTTTAAGGGTCACCTTCCAAACAACCAGGACACCAGAGTGAACTGTCATTCCTTCATCCACAAAATTTTCTGGGGAAATGAAGTATGGTTTATTACTTCATTTTTTTTACAGATGAGGAAACAGATAAAAGGGTATAAACATAAATTTGTCCAAAATGATCCCAGTTCAGCCCAGCCCATGAACCTGAGGTCGAAGCCTGATTAGTGTGTTGTTCATCTCAACTCAGATTGTTAGCATTATACAGTTAAAAAATACACTCTAAACCAAAAAGATTAAAATAAGGACTACAGCTTAAAAGTAAGATAAAACAGCACTTTCTCGGGGGCAGCAGGTGGCCTAGCAGTTACATGGCTGGACTCCCACATGGCCAACTGTGGTTCAAGTCTCAGACTAAGTGGCTTGAAATTCACCAAGCACGTGTGCATGCATGTGTGGGATCCTGGGAGGAAAACGGAGAAGGAATTGAGGTGTGGTCATCCCCCTTGGGGGGTGACTTTTCAGTTTACCTATCTATCTCTCTCTCTCTATCTCTCTCTCTCTCTGGTGAGTGCACACGCCCTAAGGCAAGAATCTCTACAAAAAAAAAAAAAAAAAAAAAAGTATTTTCTCAGGAAAAGCAGTTGGCATAATGGCTATGTCACTGGACTCCCATGTAGTCGACCACAGTTCGAGTCCCAGACTCGGCAGCTTAAACTCACACGGGGTGTGTGTGCGTGTGTGCCCAGGATCCCGAGAAGAGAATGGAGGAGAAGGGATTGCAGCGTGGCCATCCCTCCTGGTAGGTGATTTCTCGCTTTCTGTCTCTCTGTCTCTCTCTGTCTTTCTGGTGAGCGCATGTACCCTATACCATAAACCTACCCCCCAAAAAAAAATGTAAAAAAGAACAAAAATTTTAAAATTAAAAAAAAAAAAAAACATCGTTTTTCTCCACTGTCCTCTCAAAATTCCATTTTTTAAAAGTCACTCATTGGGGCGTGTAAAATAGCTTTTTTTTAATTATCATTTGAATGTATTTAGGTAGAATAAGGTTTTTCAAATGACAAATCCCTCCCTACTCCCTACTGTATTATCTGCCTGCTTAGTCTGGTCTCCAAACAACATCTAAGTTGGCAACTCCTTGTTTTAAACATAAGTAAAATCCCTTAAATAGTCATAAATTGACAGTGACAATTATATTAACGGAATGTGATTCTTGAGAAATAAAACTGATTTACTGAAGGTCAAGTACTAGGTCTTGCTCTGTCCTCCTCTGGTCAAAAATTCAGTGCTTTTAAAGATTCCAAAAAATAATACTTATTTTTATTTGAGAATGTCCTAATGCAGGTTAACATCCCTAACCTCAAAACTAAAATCCAAAAGGCTCCAAAATTCAAAACTTCCTGAGCACCGACATAACGTCACAAGTAAAAACTCCACACCTGATTCCATGCTAAGTCACAGCCAGTCACGACAGTACAGGGTACTGTGTGGGATTACCTCCAGGAAAAGGCGTATATGAAACAAATGAATTTCACATTCAGATTGGAGTCCCAACCCTCTCAGTTATATCTATAGACACAGATGCAAACATTCCAAAACCTAAACAAATTCTGAAATCTGAAACACTTCTGGTCCGAAGCATTTCAAATAAGGGATAGTCGACCTGGATTAGATAGATCTTATACTGAGCTACTCAGAAATCACACAGGCGTGCTTCCTGAAAAGACAGTAATTAATACCGAAATTATTAAACTGGTGTTCCATAGGATTTTTATAAACATGACTCTCTGAACGAATACATAAGAATCCCTGTGATAAAGGAAAAGTCATGATTTATTGTTTCTCTGAAGAATGATTCTGGTTTGCTTTGGTTCTGTCAACCTTCACTTAGGAAAAATAAGTTTTTCAATAACCTTCCTCAAAAAAAGTTTTTAAAATTAAAATACTTCCGCTTCTTAATTTTTTAAATTAAAATACTTCAGAGGACGTGCTCATGGTGTTATCCCCGAGCTCAGAACACACAGCACACAAAGGAGCACTGGCAGCCCAGTTACCCGGCCGCTACAATGTCACCTTCTTGCTCTTCGGCTCCTCATCCAGCATGGCTAACGTCCTGGCAAACTCTTCATCTTCATGCAACTGCCTCTCCAGCTGTGGAATGTGTCAACACAGTGCCTTTGGTCTTTTGTAAATGAAACTTTGGTTCACATGCTTAAAAAAAACTTAAACATTTTCCAGACAATAACTATGACATGTTTGCGTTTAACATTAATGCGGGTTTGTCCCACTAAGCCAAATTACATTTCTGAACACACATTTCTAGTTTTGCAAGCATGATAGGTAAAATGAGCACACTTTTTTAAATTCATCTTTTTTAAACAATTATTTCATTTTAACTTATTTTAATTTGACCAGGGAAGGATAGAGCGAGAATAAGAGAGAGAGATAATAAGAAAGCAAGCCGCCAGGTCTGAGCTCAAACTGCGGTCGGCCATGTGGGAGTCCGGTGCCCCTAAACACCACACGACCTGCTGGCCCCAAGAACACTCTTTTTTAAAGAGAGATTTTTGCTATAGGGTGCATACATTGCCAGAGACACAGGAAAAAAAAAAAAAGTGACAAATCACCCCCCGAGGGGTAGCCATGCCATCTCTTCTCCTCCATTCTCCTCTTGGGATTTGGAGCATGCACACACACACGGCAACTGACAAGAGTTTCAAGTCCGGATGGGTCTAGGACTCAAACTACAGGCAGCCATGCATCTTAACAACTACGCGTGGCCCCAAATCAAACACATTTTTTAAGTTACATTTCTTTTTTGCCAGAGGATGCGTGCACTTGCCAGAGAAAGACAGCAAGAGGGAGAGGGAGAAACCACTTCCCAATGGGGGTGGTCACACTGCGATCCCTTCTACTCCACTTCATCCTGGCAGGATCTGAGTCATACACATGCACAGTGCCCGTGTGTTTTCAAGCCACTGGGACCAGCATTCAGACTTCACAGCTGGCCATACAGGGACCAGCTCCCTTAACCACCAAGCCAAGGGGCCGGCCCTAAAATATGCCACCTGCTGGCCCTAAGATATATTCTTACTTAATACAGTTTGAAGTGTGCGGTTTTCTCTTAATAGTTTTAATGTAACATTCACAGATCTCTTATTTCCATTTATTTTAAATTCCAGAAAGACCTTTGAAAGATCAACTGAACAGAAAAACAATCTCCTGGAGGGTACAAAAAAGTTCATCTAAGAAATTAAGAAAATCATGTATTTTCTTTGCGAACAACAGTAAACTACATAGAAATGTAACCATTGCCTTTTAATAATCAAATAACCATTTTCAGTTACCAATTCAAATGTATCTGTTTAAGTTTGAAAACTTAAATCATCATGTCAGAAGGCTCCCAAACACGCTTATACATTATAGCATACAGATGTCTAGCTATCTCAGTGCTGTTTCCAACTATTTTTCACTTTCAGCTACATGGAGCTCTTCCAGAGAGAATATATTTCCTGTTCTAAACTAGTGCTTTTATTCCCTCTGGCAAAATGGCTTACCATAATATCAAACAAAAACCTTCCTACATTATTCAAAGGGAAGAACCTCAAAATCCACCCAATCCAGGGCCAGCAGGTGGCGCTGAGGTTAAGGTGACTGGATCCCACATGGCCAAGTATGTGGTTCAAGTCTTGGATCCAGTGGCTTGAAAATCATGCCTCGTTTGCATGCATGCCCCAAATCCTGACAGGAGAATGGAAAAGGAATTGCACGTGGCCATCCAAGGGGTGATTTCTCACCACCACCACCACCCACGCCCAATCTCTGTCCAATGAGTACACATGCCCAAGAGCAAAATCTCCCAAAAAAAAAAAAAAAAATCCACCCAATAAAAGAAAAGGCATAGAGGAGGTTGGCAAAAGCAGAACACAGTAACCAAATCATTTCCACTTTATAAAATGAACTAATCCAAGCATAGAACTGTAAGTTAGCCAAACAGATGCCCATTAACACACACTCTGTTGACTATTTCTTTACTATAATTCAGCTACTCAGGAAACTGTTAAAAACTTATACAAAAACCTTAATCATGGAAGTCCTTCAAACTCTAAACCATCAGCAGTCTTGCAAGGATTTCTACCTTCTAACTGCACTTTCTAATTAAATTTTATACCACTTTTCCAAACGTTCACACTAGGTATATACTTCTTTAAAAAGATACTACATGGGGACGGACCAGCAGGTGGCATGATGGTTGGGGCACTGGACTTCCCTGTGGCTGACCATAATTCCAGTTCCAGACCGGTGGGGCTTGCTTTCTCACTCTCTCTCTCTCTCTCTCTCTCTCTCTCTCTCTCTCTTTCTCTCTCTCTCTTGTGAGTGCACATGCCATATAGCCAATTTTTAATTAATAAATGACAATAATATTAAATAATTATTTTTTTAAAAGATTCTAGGGGCTGGCAGGTGGTATGGTGGTTAAGATACTGGACTCCCACATGGTTAACAACGGTTCAAGTCTTGGACTGGCAGCTTGCTGTCTCGCTTTCCCTTTCTCTCTGCCTCTCTAGTCAAATTTTAAAAAACAATAGTAATGGGCCAGCAGGTAGTATGGTGGTTAAAGGCACTAGATTCCCACATGGCCAATCAAAGGCACTGGATTCCGACATGGCCAATCACAGTTCAAGTCCCAGACCTGACAGTTTGCTTTCTCGCTTTCCCTTTCTCTCTCTCTCTCTGGTCAAATTAAAATAATAATACTAATTATAATAACAAATGGAATTAAATAAACAAATAATTCATTTTCAATAAAATAACAAATAAAATTTAATTTTTTTAAATATTCTAGATATTTAGTAGAACAGAAAAAATAGAAATACTTTCATTAGAAATTCATTATTAGTGATTACAGCATCATGTGATTAAGAGTCCTATATTTTAATACAATGTTTATTGAGCAAAGCTAACTGGCGCTTAGAACACTGATTTACATATTAGATACGAGACACTCATTTACTAAATGAATAAACAAAGAGACAAAAAATGAAGAGGAAAACTTTTAGAGAGATAATTTAAAAAGACATCATCAATCATTAATACTCTAAAAGTCCTTCATCAAATTAGCAAACAAGATTCTGGAAGAATGTAATAGAAATGGGAAACAGAACCATTAGACAAAAGTACCACACTTGGTTTGCAAAGGAACAGGTAACCCTTTGGGACAGATACAGAGCTAAGACGACAGATCCCTAACAACTACCACATAGTTTGCTGTAGGCAACTTGTGCTTGAGTTATGTGGGTACACGTCTGTCACTGATGTAATTCAGTGTGATAAAATACAACAGAAAAAGATTTTGAAATCACCAACTATAAATTGTCAAATTAATACAATGTAAACAATCACAATATTATTCTCTCACAATAATATCTATCAAGAACTTGATCTATGCCAGGCCTTGAGATAAGCATCAATGCTACCCAGCTGAATTCAACACAAACAGTCTAGGTGGGTGGAATTTAGAGCCTATGAATAGGAGGACCCTTAAATAGGAGGACCCTGAAATATAAAATCAGAGTAAATGATAGTAGCTGCACCGGGTGTGCTCGCACACAGCACAATTTTCTCATGTACCGAGAAGTCTGGGAAAATGACACTTGTGCTAAGGGGGTTCAAACAGCAGATATGTAGACCTGGAGGTTCTGACAGAACCAGGAACGCCTTCAAATACTTTATTTGTCTTCCGTGAAATACCAAGGTCTCTGACTTTCCTACTGCACCAGTCACCCTGTATTACGTTTCCTTGGCTGGATCAGCACCCCTATCCACTTTTTCTGACCTCTAAAGGTGAACTGTGACCCAGAAATCAAACCTGAACCCTTTTTTCTTTTCTATTTACATTCTCTCCCCCAATCTCATCCTGCTACACTGGTTTTAAATACCATTCAAATGCCAGTGCTCCTCAAACACACATCTTCAGCTCACGTCTCCTCCCCTGAGCTCCAGGATCTACCCACCCACCTACTCTCCATCTCCCTCTGGAAGTCTAGGAGACATCTCAAACTTAACCTGCCCAAAAAGAGAACTCTGGATCTCTCTGCACCAACCTGTTTTGCCTCCCATGGTCTAGAATAAATAGCATCACCTTCCGTCCAGCTGTTCGGACTGCCCTCGATTCCTCTGTGCCCACATCTTACACCCAATCTAGCGACAGTGGGAAAGCTGTGTCTTCGAGGAATATCCAGAAGGTGGTGACCACACCTCACCACCTCCTCCATGACCAACCCGGTGCAAGCCGACATCTGCTCCCACCCACCCTCCCATAAAAGTCTCCATACTGGTCTGCTTGTGCTCTGGCACCACCACGGCATACTACCATCACAGAAGACAAGAGTAATTATAAGACCCATCAAGTCATGTCACGTCTCTGTTCAAATTTCCAACAACTTCCCACCTCAGAAACTAAAATCCAAAGTCATTACTATTCAAAGTCCTCTTAGTAAGTACCAAAGACCTATCATGACCTACAGGATTGGCTGCTAGCCATTCTCCAAAATCATCTCATCCTACTCTGCTTCCCAGCCTTTCCTCCAGTGGACTGGTCTCCTGGACACCTGAAGCACATTTCTGCCCTGGACAGTTGCAGCTGCTGCTCCCTCTGCTTCAAGGGACTCTTCCTCTGAGCAGCCAGCACCACGGCTCCTTGTAACACATCACTGTGCACCAATGACACTTCCTCAGGGGAACTTCCCAACTCCTCTGTCTGAGGTTAAACACTCAAATCCCACTTTGCACCCTTTACTTAGCTTCACAGCATTTATAATTACTTAACGTTATCTTTTCTTTCTTTCTTGTCTTTAAAACCAAGAACAGTGCCAGGCAGGCACTCGGTAAGTGCTCAGTAAATATGTGCTGAGTGAATCTCAAGAGAGACCTCTGAACCAAAGGTCGAACAGGGGTCATCAACATATTCCTAAGAGTTATTAAAGCCACAAGAATGGGTTCAAGACTGGACATAGTGAAAAAAAGAGATATGATCAGATTATATTATTATAAGTATTATAAGGGAATTTCCCATTCAAATAACTAAAAATAAGTAAACAATTATTCCACTAGTCTCACCATTTATCGTTTATAGAAATTTAGATCCTCATATATTGTACTTATTTTTACCCTTCATCCAATGAGACTCAATTCAAAATTAGACTAGAACAATTGTTTGCCTGGATGGACGAAATATTAATAGCAAGTCATAACATCAAGCTACAAATGAGATCTAAGCAAAATGCCAATACCTCCGCATCTTCATCAAGTTGTAATTGCTTGGCGATGGCTTCATCGTTTAATCTGGACTCATTCGTATTTTGTGAAGGCTACAGTTCAAAGAAAATCAAACAAAATCAACATAAACCTTAAGTTAAAAATAAGGTGATTTTTTTTCTTTTTTTTTTTTTTTGGAGAGATTTTCACTGTAGGGCGCGTGCGCTCACCAGACAGACAGAGAGAGACATAGAGACAGAAAGCGAAAAATCCCCCCCCAGGGGGGATGGTCACACCGCAATCCCATCTCCTCCATTCTCCTCTCGGGATCTTGGGCACGCACACACACGCGCCCGGCGTGAGTTTTAAACCACCGGGTCCGGGGCACGACCCGCGGTCGACTACGTGGGAGTCCAGCGACATAGCCATTACGCTAACTGCTGGTTCCTGTGATTTTTTTTCTTGATTTTAGCTGATTAAATACACCAATGAGAGATAAGTAATCATCACAACACGCACCAGCCAGAAAGTCAAGTTTACAGCTAGTCCCTGACCACATCCAATTTCCTAACGACTACATATCCCACAGTACAGAGTCAATACCCTTTGTTACACAGATGTACCAAAGGAAAAACTCTGCAGGTTAATGTCTTGGTTTGAGAAGTAGTCCAGAACATTGGCAAACCAGTTTGTCAGAATGATTACATTCTCCGGTAGAGACATTAAGGAAATCAAAATATATACTCCACAGGGCAGGCTTTATTTAACTTAGGGGACTGCTCTCACTATAATTTATTTATATGTCCATCTCCTAAATGGCCAGAAAAAGTTAAGTCCAATTTCAGCCAAAGTAGAGAAGGTCAAAAGTATAACTTAGTACGCTCTATTATTAAGGGATGTATTTGTGATCTCATTTGGGAACAAATGTATTATCTACCTTTGTATGGCTGAGGTCAATAGTAAATGCAGTTTGCAGGACCAGCAGATGGCATAATGGTTATGTGGCTGGACTCGCACGTAGTCTATCACAGTTCGAGTCCCAGACCCAGTAGCTTAAACCTCACGCCAGGAGGAACCAGCAGTTAGCGTAATGGCTATGTCGCTGGACTCCCACGTAGTCGACCGCGGTTCG